GCCCAACGGAATTCTGGCCGGCAGTAGTGGCCGGCCAGTTACAGAACAAAAAAAAATTGTCAAATTTTTCGATCGAAATTTCAAAAAAAAAACGTACCGATCGAACGAAGAACCCCTTGCCGCCGCGTTTAGATGGTCCCGACATTTTTTCGGAATTTTTTCGGACGTCTAACGAGCAAAAAACGAGAGAGAGAAAGAGAGTAGAAGAGAGAGAGAAATGAAGTGGAGGGCAAAAAAGTATTTTGGGGGGGCGGTAATAATCGAAAAGGGGGCGGTGTTTAGCGTTTCACTAAATATTTCAAGACTTATGTTTGGGGAGGGAGTTTCCAGAGTTATTAAAGTTTATTGCACCAAATCCCCTTATTGGATTCTGCGCGTTTTTTTTTTTATATTTCAAAAATTACGTCAAACCTTTTTCTATTTAATTAGTATGAGTCCCGTATACTGTACGGATAAAAATATTTATTAATATTATAAATTAAAATTTTTTACTAAGCAATATTTATAAAATAAAAATACCGAATTGATATGTAGTATAATTACCTGTAGTACTTTATTGTTATATAAAGTTTAGATTGTATAAATTAAAATCACATAAAAATGTCTATTTAAGATTAGCACGGAACCCATGTGGTGCACATAATTGATAATAAATTACATTATATTCATTTCAAAATAAGTATCATTTCAAAATTTTTATCTAGAAAATCAATTTGGCTATAATGTGATTCCATAAAATAGCTATTTTAGTAAAATGTTATTATATATTTAACAGCCTATGTGAATAATTATTATAAATGCAAATTTATATTGTTTCATTACTTAAAATAATTTATTTTGTATAAAGTATTCAAATAAAAAATAATTAAGTAGTTGAGTAACTTGCTACACTATAAATTATTGACTGTTTCGTTTACGTCCAATTTAATATTGATTCGTTATTGAGTAATTTATTAAATTATAAATAATTGACTATTTCGTTTACGTCCAAGTTAATACTGATCTTTAAGTTTGAATATTAAATTTTATTTTAGATTTTAAATAAAAGTCTTTTTATTTTTTTCAATATCTTATATACCAAATTTAAACCATGCAACTAATAAAGGTAATAGCTCCAAGTTTTGTCAATATATTATATTCTAATTTTAAATCATGCAACTAATAAAGGTAATAGCCGCAATATTTGACCAAAATGATTATGTACATTAATTACAGTAATTTAGGCAGATTTTTCAAAATTTGGTCAAAAATATTACTCAATATAGTAAATACTTTAGGCGGGAAACACCTTGTGGTTTTGGAAAAAAAAAAATTAAAAAAAAAAATCATTAATTATATGTTGGATATACGATTTGAAAAGTGTGGTATTGTGATATTGTATATATTTGTACTATACTAATATTGGTATTTTTGAATGGTATAAATTTTTTAGAATCACAAAAATGTTAGG